TTGATTTCATGATAACTTCGGGTTTGTTCGTTTTTGGCGAATTGCTAGTCTAATTCTATTGGAATCGAGCCAATGAAATGTGGTTATTATTTCATGATACCTTCGAGTTTGTTCGTTTTTTACGAATTGCTAGTCTATTTCGATTGGAATCGAGCCAATGAAAAGTGGTTTTTGATTTCATGATAACTTCGGGTTTGTTCGTTTTTGGCGAATTGCTAGTCTATTTCGATTGGAATCGCGCCAATGAAATGTGGTTTTTGATTTCATGATAACTTCGGGTTTGTTCGTTTTTGGCGAATTGCTAGTCTAATTCTATTGGAATCGAGCCAATGAAATGTGGTTATTATTTCATGATACCTTCGAGTTTGTTCGTTTTTTACGAATAGCTAGACTAATTCGATTGGAATCGAATCAATGAAAAGTGGTTTTTTATTTTATGATGACTTCGGGTTTGTTCGTTTTTGGCGAATTGCTAGTCTATTTCGATTGGAATCGCGCCAATGAAATGTGGTTTTTGATTTCATGATAACTTCGGGTTTGTTCCTTTTTGGCTAAAAGCTTGACTAATTCGATTGGAATCGAGCCAATGAAAAGTGGTTTTTGATTTCATGATAACTTCGGGTATGTTCCTTTTTTGTGGATAGCTGGACTAATTTGATTGGAATCGATCGAACAAAAAGTGGGTTTTGATATCATGATAACTTCGGGTTTGTTCGTTTTGCCGAATTGCTAGTCCATTTCGATTGGAATCGAGCCAATGAAAAGTGGCTTTTGATTTCATGATAACTTCAGATTTGTTTGTTTTTGGAGGATTGCTAGTGTAATTCGATTGGAATCGAGCCAATGAAAAGTGGTTTTCAATTTCAAGATAACTTCAGGGTTGTTCATTTTTAGCGAATTGCTAGTCTAATTCTATTGGAATCGAGCCAGTGAAAAGTGGCTTTTGATTTCATGATAACTTCGGGAAATCAAGCCAATGAAAAGTGGTTTTCGATTTTAAGATAACTTCGGGGTTGTTCGTTTTTGGTCAATTGCTTGTCTAATTGGATTGGAATCAAGCCGATGAAAAGTGGCTTTTGATTTCATGATAGCTTCGGGTTTGTTCCTTTTTGGCAAATTGCTAGTGTAATTCGATTGGAATCAAGCCAATGAAAAGTGGTTTTCAATTTCAAGATAACTTCGGGGGTGTTCGTTTTTGGCGAATTGCTAGTCTAATTTGGTTGGTAACGAGCCAATGGAAAGTGGTTTTTGGTTTCATGATAACTTCGGGTTTGTTCATTTTTGGCGAATTGCTAGTCTAACTCGATTGGAATCGAGCCAATGAAATGTGGTTTTTGATTTCATGATAATGTTGAGTCTGTTCGTTTTTTGTGAATAGCTAGACTAATTCGATTGGAATTGAACCAATGAAAAGTTTTTTTTAATTTCATGATAACTTCGGGTTTTTTCATTTGTTGGCGAATTGCTAGTCTAATTCGATTGGAATTGAGCCAATTTAAAGTTTTTTTTTAATTTCATGATAACTTTGGGTTTGTTCATTTTTGGTGAATTGCCAGTCCAATTCGATTGTAATCGAGCCAATGAAATGTGGTTTTTGAATTCATGATAACTTCAGCTTTTTTCGTTTTTCGCGTTCGATTGTAATCGAGCCAATGAAAAGTTGTTTTTGATTTCACGATAACTTTGGCTTTGTTCTTTTTTGGCGAATTGCTATTCCAATTTGATTGGAATCGTACCAATAAAAAGTGGCTTTTGATTTCAAGATGATTTCGGGCTTGTTCGTTTTTGGTGAATTGCTATTCTAATTCGATTGGAATCGAGCCAATAAAAACTGTCTTTTGATTTCATGATAACTTCAGGTTCTTTCGTTTCTTGGCGAATTGCTAGTCTAATTCGACTAAAATCGAGCCATTAAAAAGTGGTTTTTGATTTCATGATAATTTTGGATTTGTTCATTTTTGGCGAATTGCTACTCTAATTCGATTGGAATCAAGCCAATGAAAAGTGGTTTTTGATTTCATGATAATTTTGAGTTTGTTCGTTTTTGGTGAATTACTAGTCTAATTTGATTAGAATCGAGCCAATGAAAAGTGGTTTTTATTTAATGATAACTTCGGATTTATTCGTAATTTGCGAATTGCTTGTCTAATTCGATTGGAATCGAGCCAATGAAAAGTGGGTTTTGATTTCACGATAACTCGGGTTTGTTCATTTTTGGCGAATTGCTATTCTAATTCGATTGGACTGAAGCCAATGAAAAGTGATTTTTGATTTCATGATAATTTTGGGTTTGTTCGTTTTTGGCGAATTGCTAGTCTAATTTTGCTACAACGTTAGGGTTGCAAACCCAAGTGCAGGTTGTCGCAAGTGGTAAATCTCGGATGTCCGAGGTCGAACCATAGGGAATTGGAAGGAAATAAACTAGTCTATGAGTAGTAAACGGTTGGTGGAAATTCGACAAAGACGAACACTAGAGCGTCGGGGTATCACTTCGGATAAATGATTAGAAATTGCCCTTGATCTTTAATTTAACTCATATGAAAATCAACCAAGGAGTTATCTCATATGGAAGATAAAACATTAATCACAAATATATTGAAAGATAGATCTTGATAATTGTTTGAGAGAATATGTCAAAATAAGTTGTTGGAATGTAGAGATTATCTAAACATTTACTGTGCCAAAATTGTTAACAATAAATCAAAGTCTTTAACAAACCAAAACCATTTGTAGAACATATACTTCAACCAAGTAAGAATATGAACATTGAAGAACAAAATGAAAAATCAAAGACAATACTATGCATTCACCAAAGTTTCACCACTAGCTCTAGCTAATGGTTTAGAAATACATAATGAAATGCTACAAAGAAAATGAAGGAAACTAGAATATGATGGAGAGGAATTGATCCTCAAAATCGTGGCCAAGGTCCCCTTTTATAGGCAAAGGAACATCCAAAACACAAGTAGGCAATGCAACTTGTTTCTGTCCAGCTTCAAGACAGCTGTAACATGCAACTTGATGGCAATTTTCAGATACATTGTGCATCGAATTTGGACTTATTATCAACAGATAAATTATTTAAAATCAAGTTAGGTTTCCATTGGTCCAAATATCAGGTTCATTGGATCTATATAACTCCAGATATGACAAAAACAATGAGTACTGCTTCACAGGTAGACAAGCTGTATCCGGCAGTAACAAGCTGGACTTTGTATGGTAATTTTGGCTGCTTTGTGTTACGAATTTGACTTATTGTAAAACATGAAAGTTGTAGAAAAATTCCTTATCTTTCCAACCCGGCTTGAATCATCTAGGTTCAATGTCCGTAGCTCAAGTTATGATCATTTTACCTACAGCTGCTTTTTGCTTGAGACAGTCACTATTTTTGACTTTTCAACATTATTTTCCTCCACTTGCTCCACTTGTTCTAAATTGGAAATACATGTGAAATACATCAAATAGATACTCTTTCAATTGTATAATACTCATGCCATGTATGTAAATACGTATTTCAATTAATTGCATTTTTAACGATGTATTTATGGAAATTGAATTTACGGCAAGAGAATTGAAATTAGAGACTAAAATTAGTGTTTTGAAACAAAGTGAATGTAAAATGTCTTGTAAATGATATATCTCTGAAGCACTTTTAGATGCTAATCACACTCCCCAACCAAGATATTGCTAGGCTCTAGCAATAAAAATTCAAAAATAGTTCAAATGAAATAGCTTGTCGCATTTGTCTCAAGATTCGAAATTGCTTATCAAAATTCTTCTAAGGTTTGCTACCAAAATATAGTCTAACTTGTCCAATGCAAGACTAGCATGTGTGTGTGCATAATCAATTCAATCACATACTTTTTTAAATTGGACTCATCCTGACCCTCAATGGTCAATTATTGCTCTCTTCTCTTGTGGGATGCACACCCTCAAACTTGATTTTCTAACTATTTTCCCAAGGTGTGATTTATGGTTAAATTTATATACTATTACTCACCCTCTCTAGTTTGGTTAGATTTTACTAATTCTAGCTCGATACATCAATAAATGAGGATTCTCCTTAATTTTGACTGATTCAACCTCCAAGAATTGACTAAGCTACTGATCCATTATCAAAGGTACAATTCTCTAAAATAAGTGTTTGGGACTTAATCAAGGCATGTAGTGCGTCTTCTTTTTCATGCACCTATTTTTTTCAAGTCTGCCGTGCATATTCTATTTCATGCACGAGCCTATCTCTTTTTATGTATATAATTGTCCTCATTGGGCTCTTTTAGGGTAGCTTCACAACATAATAGCTTTTTCCCTTCTATGCAATGATTAGTGCAATGCCCCTCATTAAACACATATTCTCGAAAATCGATCTTTAACTTAATATTTTCACCTAATTATCATCTCATTGGTATTAAGCAATCCACACAAAATTTAACGTACATGGAATCCACATCTATCTCAATGTCTCCCCACAATAGCTCAACCACCACAAACTATCCTAGAATTGGTTTAGTTGGATTTTTTTTTTTTTGGGGTCATAGTTAATTCTACATATTCTATCTATTGATCCAATCTAAATAATATGTGATTTTCATAATTGTGCTCAATGTAGATCAATCTAACATGAACAAGCTTAAACAAAATCAAAGCATCATCCTCTAGTCACAATAATATAAAAACAATTTCAAATATTATCATCGGTCAATAAGAACCTTTTTTTTTTTTTTTGAACATTTTGATTCCTTTCCCCCAACCTAAATGAAACATTGTCTTCAATGTAAAGATTAAATGTGCAAAATATATGAAGGACAATAAGGAGCAAAATTTTGAACAAAAGGACGGGTTTTGAGCTTTACTTGAAAAGTCTGCGTAAACTTGGCCTAAATGAACCTTCTATTTCATTAGTGAAAAAAATTGACAATAAAAGAAAAACACCTAAAACAAACACACAACACTATAATACTGAAAATAAACCTACAAAATGAAGCAATGAGAAAAGGATATCAATATTTAGAATCATGTATAGCAACAGACTCTTCCAATCTAGAGAAATTCTCAAAAAATGGTTTCAAATCGAGCATTGGCTCTTGAACACTTGAAATCATATGCGAATTTTTAGAATTATCGCTGAATTCAAATTCTAGCGCATCAGATGAAGTTGTAGTGATAAACTGATCATCAACAAGTTGTTCAATAAGATCTACTTAATGCAAATCATCTGTATCTCCATGTTGCTTGCAAATGTTAAAAACATTCATTTCCACCGTCATATTTCCAAAAGAGAGTTTTAAGATACCATTTCTACAATTTATCAACACATTTGAAGTAGCAAGAAAGGGACGTCCTAAAAGGATAGGTATTTATGCATTTGAATTTAAAACAAGATGTGTGTCCGAAACTATAAAATCAACAGGATAATAGAATTTATCATTTTGAACTAGAACATCCTCTACAACCCCTCTTGAAACTTTTACTGAACGATCAGCAAGTTGAAGTGTTGTTGCTATTGGTTTAAGCTCTCCCAAACCAAGTTGCTCATACACAGAAAAAGGTAATAGATTAACACTAGCACCAAGATCAAGCAAAGCACATTCTATCCTATTATTTCCAATCACACAAGAAATTGTGGGACAATCAAGATCTTTGAATTTAGGTGGAGTGTTTTGTTGAATGATTGAGCTCACATTCTTTGTCAAAAATGCTTTCTGTTGACCATTAAGTTTTCTCTTGACAGTGCACAAGTCTTTTAAAAATTTTGCATATGAAGGAACTTGTTTGATTGCATCCAATAATGGTATGTTAATTTTGACTTGTTTGAAAAGTTCAAAAATTTCAGAATTATGGTTGAGTTTTGAAATTGGTTGCAATCGTTGAGGAAATGGAGCTGGAATGGGACATTTTTCAATAATAGGGTCAGAAATGATCTTTTTCTCACTTTTGAAAACGTCATTTTCTTGCTTTGAAGTACCACCATATTTTAGTTCTTTTGAAGGGATGGTTTTGTCAATAATTTTTCCTCTACGAAGAGTTGTGATGAAGTTGGCATTTTCTTGTTGACTTTCAGAAGAACTAGAAGCATTTACATTAAATTGCCCAGAACGATTTGGTTGAGGTTGAGCAAGAAATTTGCCTTTCTCTTGAGAACGTAAAGAAGAGGTCAATGAAGAAAGTGTGTTCTTGATTTCATTTATGGCTTGTGAAGTTTGATTATTAATATTTGCTTGTCCTTGCATAAAAGACTGCAATGTTTCCTCAAGAGTCTTTGATTGTGGTTGTGGAAAAGAAGGAAATTTTGAAAGCCCTTGAGGTTGTGATAAATGAACACGATTATCATCTCTCCAACTAAAGTTGGGATGATTTCTCCATTGTTGATTATATGTTTCTGAGTATGGAGAAGAAAAATACTTTTTAAAAGTGTTCATAGCATTGGCTTGATCATGTAAAACTTCTTTGAAAGTTGGAATGTTAGGACAATCATGCGTAAGATGACCAAAAGTTTCACAAATGCTACAAATTTCATCATTTTGCACGGGTTTAACTTCATTTACTTTCCTTAATTCCATAGCTTCAAACTTTCTAGACAAACTAGCAATCCTAGCATTTAGATCATTATCTTGACTCAATTGATATTTTCCTCCACTAGAACTAGCAAGACTAGATCTAATTGAGTTTTCGATTGGTTTTACTGTTTGCTAAGATTGAGAATTTTTAGCTAGATGATCTAGAAATTCCAAAGCTTCATCTGGATCTTTATCTAAAAATTCACCATTGCACATCGTTTCTACAAATTGTTTTGTTTCAAGAGTTAGGCCCTCATAAAAGAAACTTATAGTATGCCATTTTTCAAAACCATGATGTGGGCATGTATTTAATAAATATTTAAATCTTTCTAAACATTGAAAGTACGCTTCATTGGTTTTTTGAGAAAAAATTTGGATTTGTCTTTTCAAAGCATTATTATGTGCTGGAAAGAATTTCTTCAAAAACTCACATTGCATTTCTTGCCATGTGCCAATGGACCTAGGTTTTAAAGAGTTAAGCCAAGTTTTTGCTTTATCTTTTAGAGGAAAAGGAAACAATTTCAACTTAACAATTTCGTTGGGACAAGTTTGATCGTTAAATGTGGCACATACTTCCTCAAATTCTTTAAGATGCAAATATGGACATTCGGATTCTAAGCCATGAAAATTAGGAAGTAATGGAATCATACCCGGCTTGAATCGAAAATTATTAGCATTAAGAGGGAAAATGAAACATGAAGGAGTAGAATTTTGAGGAGGTTGCAAGTAATCACACATGGTTCATGCTTGTTGGTTTTCATTTTCATCATGTACGCTTTCATTATCAGCCATGGTAGAATATGTGAGTGAGTGCTGAGGTGAGTCAAATAAATTACTAAAGAAAGTTTCACAATTATCTTTAACTAAATGATGAGAATTAAGTTCACGATACCAATATGACATAAAATAACAAAAAGTAGATATAACGAACGAAAATTAGGTGGCACGGCCAACCATATAATAAGAACAAAAATTAGGTGGCATAGCCAACCATATAATAAAGAAACGGCAGATCGGAAGGCTTGGCCTTCCCTCTAAAGAAAGAAAATAAATAGAAAATAAAAACGAAGGAGGCTCGGCCTTCCTTTAAAGTAAAATAACTAAAGTAATAAAATTGAAAAAGGAACGAGTGTACTTGATTTATGAAGAGTATGAAAGAGAAGAAAACCTCACAAAAAGTAGTAAAAAATAATCCTTGACGCAAATCCCCGGCAACGGTGCCAAAAACTTGCTACAACTTTTGTGGCGCCCCGAACTTAAGCTTTGAGTGTCACGTACTAAACATAAAAACTGCAGCCTTCGTTACATGTAAATACTTTTAAAAGAAAGTATTACGTGTTAGAAACTTATTTTCAACTTGGTAAAATATCTCTCATAAAATTTTAATGGCCAACAGAAGCGCATGTCGACAAAATTATACTTTATATTTACGGACTCTGCACTGCCACGATTAGTTGGGGCAGCAAGTTCAATTATTTTTATAAAATTCATCCCAACTCCATTTTCTATGAAATTTATGAAATTAGAAAGGTATTTCCAAGTAGTTTTCTAGGTTAAAATAAAAAAAAATTCTAAGATCATATACTATGGCGTTTTACTGAAAACAGTGAGGTATTGCATAGAAATTTCAGATTTGAACCTTCAATGTTTAAAAATTCATAACTCAGGCTACAAATATCCAAATTGAGTGATTCTTGTGCCCATATTAAGAAAACTAAATGAATAACGTAGTATTATTTTCAGAGTCTCAAACGGACGTTTATGGAGTCAGAAATAATGTGTTGAAGTTGACCCAAAAAAAACTGTCCTGTTTCTGCCTTTTTATCACTTGCAAGGGAAAGTAAAAACAAAAAAACGTCTCTTAACATAACATGATAGATATAATTACATAATTTACTTCCAGTACCATATTACATCATGTCTTATACATATGTAAAACATATGGAAAGTAGTCAAACAAAACAGAAACTTCGATGTAAAATAATTTTGTCCTTGATCTATCATCGATTTTGCCGACTGACTTCCACCAACACCACAATTATGAATATGAAAATTTAATATGAAATACTATGAGTATAAAGAATACTCAGTAAGATACCATGCTCGGATTTAACATGTTAATACTACACAAAAGAAAGCATTCAAACACATACTTGCACATTCCGGCTTGCCTGTGCCCTTTGGACTTGTCCTAAGGCATAAATAGATATCTAACTTTGTGGACTTGTCCATGTCTTTCATATTATGGTTTTCATGCATAACTTAAGCATAAATATTACCATGAAATCCTACCACTTAAGCATAGAAAATAACTTACAATAAAACTTGAAGAAATCTTGGTTGAAAAATGAATTGAGAAATGCTAGGCTGGTCCTCTTCTTCCCTCACGTTTTCTACCCTTTTAAAACAAGTGATAAGCTGTTTTTCATGCAAAGGAAATAAAGGGCAGCAACATTTCTATTTATAGGTGAGAAAAATGATTAATTATGGGTGACACTTCAAGAAATTCAACACGTGTGGGCTGCATGGTTTCATTTTCTTAAATCCAAAACACCTCATGCATTAGTTAGCCACCTCATGCTTAAATTAAAACACCTCATGCATATATGTTTCATCAAATTCTCAGCCAAGTGGAGAAACAATGTTTAACTTTAGTAATTAGGTGTAAAATGGACATTTATCCCAAACCCCTAATTAACGAATTATTTGGAAAAACTTTTAATAAATCAACCAATGCAAAATTTAGCAACCATAAATAATTTTTGGCCATACTAAATTTTGAAAATTTAAATTGCTATTCTAAAAATTAAATGAGCACAAAATTCGGAGTATTACAACTTTAAGGTTGCAAACCCAAGTCCAGGTTGTCGTAAGTAGTAAATCTCGAAAGTTTGAGGTCGAACCACAGGGAATTGGAAGGAAATAAACTAGTCTATGAGTAGTAAACGGTTGGTGGAAATACGTCGAAGACGAACACTAGAGCATCGGGGATTCACTTCAGATAAATGAGTAGAAATTGCCCTTGATCTTTAATTTAACTCATATTAAAATCAACTAAGGAGTTATCTCGTATGGAAGATAAAACATTAATCACAAATATATTGAAAGATAGATCTTGATAATTGTTTGAGAGTCAAAATAAGTTGTTGGAATGTAGAGATTATCTAAGCATTTATTGTGCCAAAATTGTCAACAATAAATCAAAGTCTTTAACAAACCAAAACCATTTGTAGAACATATACTTCAACCAAGTAAGAAGATGAACACTGAACAACAAAATGAAAGATCAAAGACAATACTATGCATTCACCAAAGTTTCAGCTCTAGTTCTAGCTAATAGTTTAGAAATACATAATGAAATGTTACAAAGAAAATGAAGGAAACTAGAATATGATGGAGAGGAATTGATCCTCAAAATCGTGGCCAAGGTCCCCTTTTATAGGCAAAGGAACATCCAAAAGGCAAGTAGGCAATGCAACTTGTTTCTGTCTAGCTTCAAGACAACTGAAACATGTAACTTGATGGTAATTTTTAGATACATTTTGCAGCGAATTTGGACTTATTATCAACAGATAAATTATTTCCACTCAAATTTAGCTTTCCATTGGTCAAAATATCAGGTTCATTGGATCTATATAACTCCAGATATGACCAAAACAATGAGTACTGCTTCACAGGTAGACAAGCTGTGTCCAGTAGTAACAAGATGGACTTTGCACGATAATTTTGGCTACCTTGTGATACGAATTTGACTTCTTACAAAACATTAAAGTTGTAGAAACATGCCTTATCTTTCCAACCTAACTTTAATAATCTCGGTTCAATGTCCACAGTTCAAGTTATGATCATTTTATCGACAACTGCTTCTTGCTTGAGACAGTCACTATTTTTGACTTTTCAACATTATTTTCCTCCACTTGCTTCATTTGTTCTAAATTGGAAATACATGAGAAATACTTCAAATAGATACTCTTTAAAATGTACAATACTCATGCCGACATGTATGTAAATACGTATTTCAGTTAATTGCATTTTTAACGATGTATTTACGGAAATTGAATTTATGGCAAGAGAATTGAAATTAGAGACTAAAATTAGTGTTTTTAAACAAAGTGAATGTAAAATTTCTTGTAAATGATATATCTTTGTAGCACGTTTTGACGCTAATCAAATTCGATTGGAATCGGGCCAATGAAATGTGGTTCTTGATTTCGTGATAACTACGGGTATGTTCATTTTTTGCGAATAGCTAGACAAATTCAATTGCAATCGAGCCAATGAAAAGTGGTTTTTGATTTCATGATAACTTCTGGGTTTTTTGTTTCATGGCGAATTGCTAGTCTAATTGGATTGGAATCGAGCAAATGAAAAGTGTTTTATGATTTCATGATAACTTCGGTTTGTTCATTTTGGCATATTGCTAGTCTAATTTGATTGGAATCGAGTAAATGAAATGTGGTTTTTGATTTCATGATAAGTTTGGGTTTGTTCGTTTTTGGCGAATAGCTAGACTAATTCAATTCGAGTCGAGACAATGAAAAGTGGTTTTTCATTTCATGATAACTTTAGATTTTTTCGTTTCTTGGCGAATTGCTAGTCTAATTCAATTGGAATCAAGCCAATGAAAATTGGTTTTAAATTTCGTGATAATTTCAAGTTTGTTCATTTTTGGCAAATTACTTGTCTAATTTGATTGGAATCAAGCCAATGAAAAGTGATTTTTGATTTCATGATAGTTTTGGGTTTGTTCATTTTTGGCGAATTGCTAGTCTAATTCAATCGGAATCGAGCCAATGAAATGTGGTTCTTGATTTCGTGATAACTTCGAGTATGTTCGTTTTTTACGAATGGTTAGAGTAATTCAATTGGCCAGGCAGTGAAAAGTGGTTTTTCATTTCATGATAACTTCATGTTTTTTCGTTTCATGGCGAATTGCTAGTCCAATTCGATTGGAATCGAGCCAATAAAAAGTGGTTTATGATTTCATGATAACTTCGGGTTTG